ACCAATGGACGATACTTCATCATCAATCATTTCAATCACTTCTTCTGTTGTTGGAACATTTGATCGTCAGGAAACATCGTTGATGGACCACAGTGTGACCAAACTTTGTTGTACCAGCAGAAGAAAAGATGAGGAAAACTTTGGTGATTGATGGCTGTCGCTTCAAACCCCTTGTGATTGTTGTGCCAAGGTGTTTGGTGCTCGGTTTTGGTGTTGATGGGTGCACAGAGGTACGTCTGTCCACGTGTGCCGGTACGTATTGTCCTGTACGACCTACAGTGCCATCGTGTGAGAATTTTCACAAAACTACCACTTTCAAGTGGGATGATTTGATTGGATGGTCAATTTGACCACGAGCCTGTATAGCCGTGGTCAAATTGACCACAAGCCAGTCAAGCTATGTCAATTTGACATGCAGCATGCCGTCCAATCATCGAATAAACCCGTCACATTTTTACACAAGAGTCATTTCTTAAATATGGAAAAGTGGTCTACTAACAGAAAAAATGGGGAATGATTAAAGAGGACGGGCATGCTTTTTTCCTTTGTCCTTTCTCACCCTCCGCACAACCGTGCCGTGCTATTTTGACTGACTGTTTGTGGACGCGGATAAGCTGGTCGCTGCAATGATTTTTCAAGATTCCGCCTACAAGATTCCCTTTGTGCAGTTGCTATTGCGCATGAAATGACTAATCGGACCACAGTTCCCGGCCGTTCCTTTACGTGTCGTCAGCTTTCCTTTTATGAAATATCGTGAGATATGAATATGACGGAGGCCAGACCATGAGTTTTTGAAAATAAAAAATAAAGCACTCCTATTCCGGATGTGTCGCATATGTATTGTTTTGCATCGACATCACATCAACTTCAAGCTTGCAGACAAAAGCCAAGGAACCGCAAAACAAACAAGCAGCACCACAACAGTTGTTTTAACAACTTGATTGCATCATCTTGTGATTGACTCGACATCATCCTGGAAAGGTCAAACAAGGCATGAGAGAGCAGTCAAATCTACCAGTTGAGATTATCGCTGCGATTCTAGTGAAGTATACACTTCTGTGAGGCTTGCGACAACGAGCCTGTGCAATTTGCTGATTGTCTGGAGCTGAAAAATCAATCGGCTTGTTGTTTGGGTAGAAACGTAAAGGGCGAACGCAAGGCTCAATTTCATTGCAAATATACTACATGTGTATGCAAAGATCGAAGACACAATAATCAACATTTGTTGGGAAAGGTTCAAAAACGACAACAAACGCAGAATCCCGACTGGGCTCCGTTGTGGCCAATTTTTTCTTCTCCAGGCCAGTGTTTTGAACGAAGCTGTCTACTATTGTACAGAAAGACGCTTGCAGAGTTCTTTGTGAAAAAATTCTGACGAGAGAATAGAATAGAACAAATGAGGGCTTGATTCTGCCAATGCGGAGACAGTGACTTGACTTGAACAATGACAAGACGACACTAAAACTGGATACTACTGTTGAAGACAAAAATTATAGTCAATAGAGAATCAAGCTAGAAGCTTGAACAATACGTTCTACTATTATACATCTCCATCACCACGTAACGCTAGTCATTCCGGTTTGCCAATATACTGTCACATTCTCTAGGAAGGCCAGAACTTGTTCAACTGGAGCTGAGGTGGTTTGGTTAGGTTGCGTCCATTCTGGAAAAGCAGGTTTGCGTATCAGATTGCAGGTGGCTGGTATAGAATGTTTTTAGTTTGCAGGACCATCCAATCTACCGGTAGATCTTCCTGATTATAAGCACTGGTGTTTCGCGAGTCTCTCATATCCCCTGAAACTCTCCCCTCATATATTTTGATTTGCGTGTTGAAAGAAAATAGCCCGGATTTGGTTCCAGCTGACGACATGTACACGTACGTAGAAGCTGGTAGTCGTGAGCTGATTTGCAAACCCCATTTATCCGATATGTGCCTAAATATGTGCGGATTTTTTGTGTGAGCGACAGTACTGGAGCGGGGGGTGTCGTTTGGACAAAATGAGGGGAGTAGTATAGTCTTCAATTGTTTACCCAAGTTAGGCTGACTGGCGCATCTTTCTTTTCAAAACTACTTGGCGTGCGTGCCCTTTTGATCTGGTTCCGAACCGTTGAACCTTCGTCCAAATGGACGAAAATAGTCAAACCTTCGTCAAGTCCGACTATTCTTGTCGGAGTCCGACTATTCTCGTCGGAGTCCGACTATTCTCGTTGGAGTCCGACTATTCTTCATCGAAATGGACAAAATGGATGAAATGGACAAAACTGATTTCAGAGCTTGCAAGAATCTTGCATGACAAAAAATTCAAATTTGCATTGTCAGGCTGGTAGTGGCAAGCTGGTCCAAGAAGGCTGACATGCAAAAACGGCAAAAAACAGTACACTAGAAAACAAGAAACGGTTACTAAATAAAAAAGGGCAGGTTCTATCTCTCCACAGCAATATGCCAAAGTTGCCAGAGATGTTTACAGACATGATGCATACTTTCAGAAATTCAAACGTCAACTACAAATTATACTACAGTAACTCAGATGAGTGATAGATTTAGGATTCATCTGATCAAGAGGTTTAAAAAATAATCTGCCCTATTCCTAATGCGACCATGTTTCGTCCGGTCCGACAAAGTTTTGTCGGGTCTGACGAAGTTTTGTCAGGTCCGACAAAGTGTCTGACGAAGTTCAACAATTTCAAGGGAATGTCCACAAATGAAATGAATGTTTAGGCAGGCCCGTTTTCAGCAAAGCCCAAGCTCTGCATTGCGCAGAATCTGTCACCGGCATGTCAGTTTCCGTCATCCTTGCCAGGGAATCTATGACATATCTGAGGACACTCCCAGCAAGTCTGCCATTGCAGGCCGCTCCAGATTCTAAGCACGTCTACACAACCAAGGCGTCGCTTACAAATCTCACTTTCCGGATCAAAAATAGATTTGAAATGGTCGTAACGGCAAATAACGGACAAAACGGCCAACAGTTTAATTTTGAAAGTTGTGAACTTTGGAAATCTCGTCGTTTAATTTGCGTCTTTGTCTTTTCATTTGCGTCAACATCAACATGGGCCGTCCAAAAGGAAGTAAGAACAAAAAATGCAACCATAAGGCTGGAGGCGACCGGAAGTCAAAGAATTTCAAACTGCAAAGGAGGAGAAAGCTAAGAGGAGCCATGAGTACTTCCTCTCATTGCGACATCAAAATGATCCATCCTCTGCAAAGTCAACACTGGAGAAAGCAATTTTCAAGGTTTCAATAGAACTGATGGCAGAGGTCCTTGACCCCTCGTCAATGCCAAAAGGAAAATTTGTCCCAAACCAAGGCACTGTTGATTTTACAAGTGGGAATGCTTGGGAAGTGAAATATGACGAGGATGATGACAGGGCGGTCTGCAAATGGAATTGGGGACTACGGAATTGGTGCATCAAGTGATGACGACAAATCATCAGCTTCATCAACAAGGCATTGCCAGTCGCCTTTGTACAACAACTTAATGGAAGTACAAGGCAAGATTATTGATGACAAAAGCAGTCAACAACAAAGGTTCATCTATCCAAGTAAATCTTCAGTGGCATCCGGTCTGGGGAAATCTCCTATTCCAAGCAACTTCTACAAAGATGTTGTGGTTTGAGTATGGATACCAGATGCACAGTTCAAGGGGCCTGCACTACAAATACAAGTGCCAATCCGATTCAATCAACACAAAACATCAGGGAAGTTGGCCCACCGCAATTGCATATGGGGATATTCATTGGGTCTTCTTTTTTATGTCCATGCTCAAATAAGGCTTGTAAGAATAAGACTTTTCTACAATCAGCCAAGAGTTTTTAAATGATCAACCTTCATGCATTTTGGATGAATTTTAAAAAGCAATTTTCAAGATTTCAAAAGAACTGATGGCAGAGGTCCTTGACCACCCGTTAATGCCAAAAGGAAAATTTGTCCCAAACCAAGGCACTGTTGATTTTACAAGTGGGAATGCTTGGGAAGTGAAATATGACGAGGATGATGATGGGGCGGTCTGCAAATGGAATTGGGGACTACGGAATTGGTGCATCAAGTGATGACAACAAATCATCAGCTTCATCAACAAGGTATTGCCAGTTGTATACGCCAAGCCAAGGGACGCCTTTGTACAACAACTTAATGGAAGTACAAGGCAAGATTATTGATGACAAAAGCTGTCAACAACAAAGGTTCATCCATCCAACTAAATCACCAGTGGCATCCGGTCTGGGGGAAATCTCCTATTCCAAGCAACTTCTACAAAGATGTTGTGGTTTGATTATGGATACCAGATGCACAGTTCAAGGGCCTGCACGACAAATACAAGTGCCCAAGTTGCCAATCAATTCAATCAACGCAGAACATCAGTGAAGTTGGCGCCTTGCAATTGCAAATGGGGATATCAATTGGGTCTTCTTTTTTATGTCCATGCTCAAATAAGGCTTGTAAGAATAAGACTTTTCTACAATCAGCCAAGAGTTTTTAAATGATCAACCTTCATGCATTTTGGATGAATTTTAAAAAGCAATTTTCAAGATTTCAAAAGAACTGATGGCAGAGGTCCTTGACCACCCGTTAATGCCAAAAGGAAAATTTGTCCCAAACCAAGGCACTGTTGATTTTACAAGTGGGAATGCTTGGGAAGTGAAATATGACGAGGATGATGATGGGGCGGTCTGCAAATGGAATTGGGGACTACGGAATTGGTGCATCAAGTGATGACAACAAATCATCAGCTTCATCAACAAGGTATTGCCAGTTGTATACGCCAAGCCAAGGGACGCCTTTGTACAACAACTTAATGGAAGTACAAGGCAAGATTATTGATGACAAAAGCTGTCAACAACAAAGGTTCATCCATCCAACTAAATCACCAGTGGCATCCGGTCTGGGGGAAATCTCCTATTCCAAGCAACTTCTACAAAGATGTTGTGGTTTGATTATGGATACCAGATGCACAGTTCAAGGGCCTGCACGACAAATACAAGTGCCCAAGTTGCCAATCAATTCAATCAACGCAGAACATCAGTGAAGTTGGCGCCTTGCAATTGCAAATGGGGATATCAATTGGGTCTTCTTTTTTATGTCCATGCTCAAATAAGGCTTGTAAGAATAAGACTTTTCTACAATCAGCTGGTCCTTCAGATGGTGCAGGAGTGTAATGAACACAGAGATGGGATTTGTTAGGTACTAACGCTTGGATCCGGCAAATGCATTCTTCCACATAGGTCTTGGAACCTGTCAACCAATCCATATTTGCAACATCAAAGCAATAATCCATAACAAGGTAGTAGTCTGGCGCACCGGAGCATTTCAATTGAAAGGCACCAGCAATAGCATTGACCCACTGTTGATGATCCTTGGCTATAACTTTGAAGTTGTCGACATGAGTGCAACGACAATCGTACCCAGATTTGTCTTCAAATAGTCTCATCCAGACGTCACGGTCGTACCGAGTAGGTTCAAAACCAATTGTACGCATAAACGCAGCAAATTTTTCCCTGTAGGCCCTTGAGCTAGATCTTAAGCCATAGAGGGCCTTGTTGATAGTAACAACAGCGCCTTCATGCTCTTCAAACTCGGGGCCAGCAGTAGAATGTATATCCTCTAGACATTTGGCAGTAATGAAAGCATTGCCAACATCTCCATGGAGAATGGTCAAACCATCACGGTGTGCAATCATGTCTAGTAATCTGACACTAACACCCTTCACAACGGTAGTCTTAGTCGAGATCCCTCGGGGGTCCACGAGGTGACCTCCGCAAACCAATCTTCCTTTGCGTCGTCCATCTTGCTTGGCTTCAAAAATCATTTGCAAAGGAGCAAACTGAGAGTTTGGGCCAGCCTTGTAATCAGACGGGTGAAAGGTAAAGCAATTCATTGCAATGAGAGAGGCAATCTCTTTCTCCATTGCCTCTCTTCAAAAGTGGTTTCCGTTTTTGTCATCAATGGCAAGTGCTTGTCTAACGGTCCGCGGAATTGGAATACCATACTTGACAGGAAGAGGTTGTTGGAGACGTCCAGGCTTCTTTGCACATTGATTCTGGCGGGGGGTGGACTTCTTGAAACGCTTGGTGTATTGAATCTGGCAGCTGTCATCTTCTTCAGGACAGCAAAATACTTGGCCTTCCTTCATAGGCTTGGAATAATTGTAGTATTTTACACGTCGAGTCTTTTTCAAGAACGTTCGTGCCCAACGTTGGTGTGGTCCATTCTTGTGGTTACCGGAGCAGGACCCAATCTTGTTGGCACAGATGTACTTGGCAGTCTCATAGGGAAAATCTTCACGACAAGCGCGATAAGTTACCCAAGAGGTTTCATCAGTCTTCCTGACAAAATATGAGTTTTTACGTTCCAAAAAGAAACTATTCAAGTACAAAGTTTTCGACACGTACGATCCGACTTTGATCGTGATGTCGGGATTCGACGCAAGTATGCCGGACGGCGAGTCTGTCGGACAATCTACATCCACACAAAAAGGGAATGACCCTATACAAGTGAGATATTGATGTTGTGTACAATGCAGTAGGGAATAATACAAGATGTCCCAAAGTACTGTATCCAACACAGAATCATCGTAGAGGTCGAATCAAGTTCTGTAAACAAGGGATTTTCCAAAGGAAAATTGTTGAACTTACTTTTGTGATTGAATCATCAATTCAAGCCAAACATTAATCAAATAGGAACAATTTCACTCAAAGTATACCTAGACACAGGAGAACTATTGTCGTGAAAGTGTTGTACAGTCGATTACAAATTTAGATTGCAGAGAGTTTGTTCTGAGCGCTAAAGGCACTCACAATAGAGCACATTTTGCTTTATTCTAACATTCAATCACAAAAGGCTACAAAACAAATTTACGTCAAGAACAGCAGTGCCTTACCTACAAAGGAGTGAGGGATTTCTATGCAACAGCGATCGAACGAGAACAGCTCCTCTGATGCTGGATCTTCAGACGAACTATTGCAGAGAAGTGGATTATTATCCAAAGACGGTCAGCAAAGCACAAGATATGTTGAAAATTCACATGGAAGTGAGTAAAAATCCAGGAGTGAACCTCTACCAAGGAAAAGACCAACCTAATAAAGGTAAAGGCAAAGGAAAAGGAAAGGGGAAACCGAAGGATGGAAAGAAGGCAGCATGTTATGTATGTGGCAACGAAGACCATATGTCTCCAAAATGCCCAGACAGACTGCTACCAAAGACTCAATGGAAGAATCAGGATCAATATGTTGATTATGGAAAGAAGCTCAATCTTAATCATATTGGAGCAACTGTCCCAGCTACTGTTCCAGCTATAGTTCCTGGAGCTTCAGCGTCCACAAGTGGAGCATCAAGTGTTGCAGGAAGCGTTAACACACTTTTGTGACTTGCTGGTACTACAGGTAATCAAATGATGCAAGTTCCTTCTGGAATGCAGCTCATGCAGATTCCAACTCAAGGTGGAGGCACTGTTACTGTCCCTTATTCTATGAATGCTAACGGTGAGATTGCGTTCAGTGGAATGCAACTCAGTTGACAAGGCTTCAGTGGTGCTCAAGTGCGCCAAGGATTTGATGCAACTCAAGCTCGAACCCCACAAGCTGTGAAAACTGGATATTTTGATACATCAAATGTCTTTCACAATGCTATCAAGGGAAAGGATGAGAATGTCCTACTGGTACAACGAATGTCAAACTTCAAACCAACTGGCACTATGCTAGTGAAGATGAAGATTTGCCTGATCTTGCTACTGAAGCAGATCGAGGTCTGCAGTTCATTCAAAGCCGCAGAAAGGAAAGAGATCCATTTGGGTTGTACAATCATGTCATCATGGACAGTGGTTGTACAAACACAACCATTTGTAATGGTGAGCTTATGCATGGACTCCGTCATGCTGAGAAAGAACTTGACATGCACACTAACGTGGGCAGCAGAGTTATCGACGAAGAAGGTTTTCTAGGAAGATTTCCACCTCCAGTTTATCACGATGAAGATGGAATTGCCAATGTACTTGCTATACTGATGCTGACAATGCTTTTATTGTGCATTGTGATGGAAACAGAAAGATGCGATTTGTTAATCATAAGGGTGTGTATGTGTTGGAGCAACTTGGAGCGAATGTTGAACCAGGTGCCAAAGAGACAAGTGCGAAGTACCGTCGCCAGTTAAGCAACTTAAATAATCAACCCCATTTCGAACTTTCTTCAAACAAACAGAATGGATATGCTGGACTCGATGTCACCAAAGAAGCGATCAATCATGCCAAAGCAATCTTTGATCTGGTCTCATCAAGAACTGTCCTATCACTGAAGAAGCGATCAATCATGCCGAAGCAATCTTTGGACCTGACGCCTCTACATTGAAAGGCAAGTCAACAAGACCAACTCCGAAGAACACGTATGACGACTTCTTCAGTCCACCAGAGGAATTATATCAGCACAATCGATCTATTACCGTCTGTATTGATCACATGGAGATCGAGAATGCTAAGTTTCTCACCTGCATTGATACCGCTGTGCGTTATCGCTAATGTATTCCCGCGCAGAACCTGAAGACTGACCCTGTATTTGAAGCATTGGATAAGATATTCCGCCGCTACAACAAGGCAGGCTTTCAAGTCAAGATCATCAAGTGTGATTGGGCGTTCATTCCTCTCACGGATGATGTGCTAGACAATATGGGTGTTACTATTGACCCGACTGCAGCTGGAGACCACGAGCCTCCCGCTGAGCGAAACAATAGGGCGTTGAAAGAAAGAGTCAGAGTAGCTCTTGCACGATTACCCTACAAAGTGGTTCCAAAAGTGATCACTGAATGTCTTGGACGTCGAGCCGCCGAGCTATTGAATGTCTCATCACATTTCAGTCCGCAGCAACTCATTGATAATGTCAATATCAACTACAAGAGAGACATGGTTGCTGAACTTGGACAATATGTTCATGCAATTGGGACGGATTCCAACAATTCGATGGAACCCCGAAGTATTGAAGCAATTTACATTGAACCTACAAAGGGACAACGTACTGGGCACCGAGTGCTCAACCTCAATACTAAGAAGATGATTTCCCGACCCAAGGTCGTTGTACTACCCGTTACCAATCAAGTAATCCAGCGTGTTGAAGCTTGGGCTGCTGCCGAAGGTGCTACTTCCATGAAGTTCTTTGATAAGAAGAGAGATTTGGAGACATTTCAAGATGGCGATCAAATCGCAGGAGTGGATGACACGGAACAAGGTTACTTAGAAGAAGCCTTTGATCAGGACTATGAACCT